AATTTTAAGATCTCAATCATGAATTGTTCTTTCCCTTTATTATTACTAGAGAATCCCCATAAAAACAATGGATGATGGTTCTGTTTTTAATTATTATAAGAAATGTGTTCTTACGAAATTTTCAACAATTTAAATTAAAGAATTCACCTTTTTCAATAGATTGGCAATTAAAATACGCCCATATTTTTACTTCTTATCGGACAGTCTGACATGTTATATTCAAAAAAAGTTGGCAACATAACGGCCTAAAAGAAACAAGTTTACCTTGAAAACTTGATAGTAATTTTATATTGGAGTGAGACACCATCTGCTTTCAAATGCATGGTAGTTCTCGTGTTTGAAGGACCAGTCATTGAAGTCTATTTAAGGCCACCTTAAATGGGAGCAGGATGTGATGGAGAAGAGGCTTATTTATACCAACCACCAACTCCGGCCCATATCAATCAATCCATTCGGTGCATGGCTTGACAGCCATTTGCATTTAATTGGGCTTTTTCGACTTTGACATAAAGAAACTTGTAATGCTTTGTCCCATAAACACCCCCTGACACCAACAGAGCTCCAAACAGGGATTCGACTAGGACCATTACTTACTTGAATCATGACGTTTCATTAAGTTCATGCAGAGAGATCATTGAAACCCTAAACACACTATGCTTGGTAAAGGAGAAAAAAGCAACCATGAAACTGGTTGGATAGGAAAGAAGTTGCCTCTTTACCAAAATCAAAAGCCAAGAAAGAGGGGATAAATAATCTATGGGATCCCAAGTTCTTTTTTCCCAAGATTTTGAAAGGATTGGAACTAGGAAGATAGAAAAAACCAACATAATGAAACAAAAAGTCAGATAAAAGTAAAATTAGATTGTGGGATTTTACTTGGAATATGAATGAAGAGATACATAGTGAACACATATTTTATTCAACTAGTAATATTTGGATTTTGGTAGCTTGATTGAAAATGAAGAGAGGCTTCTCACATCTCTATCATTCTAGGAAAGGGATATGTTCGATCGGGCCCAAGCTTCAGTGGCACCAATTAAGCTTTCAATCAATAGGTTTAAAGAAATTATAGGCATGAATTAGGTCAATTGGCCAATGGTAGTGTCTCTGTCTCCTCGCATCCGAGTTCAATCCCAACACACACACAAAAAAAGCTTAGCGGAAAGTGCCATTTGAGCAGTTGAAAATCTTCCAACTTCTACAGTTAGAATAGCAAACTGGTATGCCCGCACTTGTGATCTGTGTACCAGATATTGAGCCAAAGGACAGCCAAACACTTAATCCACAACCTGGTAGGGTTTTTAAGTTGCAAGAGTCACTAATAATTGGAATTCAGCCTTCCTAAAGTGACTTAGAAAACCCCAAAATGTCCCAAAACCAAAGATTAGAAATTAAACTTTCCAAGAGAGGTCAACTTAGGGGCAAGCCTTTAAGGAACAAGATTGGAGCAATGGCATTTCTCAGATTGAAGAGAGGTGACCTGTCATGTCAATCCCATTATCTTCCCCCTTCCTCATGGTTCCCACTATGTACCACTTTACGTGTCAGTCTCACATTTTGATGCCCCAAATCAAATGTTTCAACACTCTATTGGTCTTGAAAAGTGCCGAAAGGGATTCATATAATTGCCATATCCAGTTAGAAATTAGAGTACTTGGTTCCACACAAAGTTGAAGGGATGTTGTTTGTCTATGTTTTAGGATACTAAAATTAAGTCAGCACTGTTGGTCATGTTTTCTTTGATCATTCCAGAGCTTTCCAAAAAATTTACTTATTCATTTCTAGCTTAATTTACTTATGCATCTTTTCTTTTTTAATTTCACAACTGTTGTTCTTGATATTTAAATTCAAACCTCCGTCGAGCGGGGTTACCACAGTGGTTGTGGCCCTCCCTCTTCTCCCCTGCTTGGCATGATGAAACCCATGGTTTCTTTCCTTCCAATGTAACCAAAAAAATTCAGACCTACCTCTAACAAGTATATAGACCATAGCCAGTTACAAACTAATACATTCAAGAGAGTGTAATATTCAGAACTCATTTTCACTCACTTTGTTTATTCAATTTTAACTCTGCTGGAAATACATGCCCTCTTAAATTCTACATTAACCATCATCTTCCATCTCTTTCACACAGCAATTTCAATATTGCAGCTGCATCATCAATGTAAGAATTGAATGTGGTCTACTTTGAGAAGGGTAAGTCAAATCTATCTGCTGAGGAGGGAATCTTGATGCTAGTGGAAATACTTAAGATAGGAAGCAATCCATCATGACTCTGTCCAGCTCTCTCTCCCCTTAAATCCTCATTATGAACAATTAAATTGAATTCATTTGTTTGTAGCAATTTACAATTCTTGTGCCAAGTAAATTGTAGCATCATTAAATCAGAGTCTGTTTCAATAAGTACTCATACACATAAAGTCAATCTTATCAGATCTTTTATTTATTTTCCCTTGATAGTGGGGAACATCTTTCATGATCGACTCTCTGGGCCAGAGAGAAGATATATAATATTATTGCCTCAACTGGAAATCTAACTTGGCTTTGATAGAATGGTTAGAGATAGAGAGGCACACAAGCAACTGTAATTGACACTCCAAAGCATAACCAAGTTGGATCTTTGTGCCTTTTTGTTGTTTGGTGTGGTGATTTGGGTATACATTGTTGTTACAAATAGAGTCAAGTGGGTCTTCATCATCGTGGCTTATCCATCCCTATTTGATGGAGAAGAACTTACATACACGGAAATATCACTATAGCAATATTTTAAATCAATCACGTATTGTTGTACGTTTTCACTCTCATATAATAATACATTACTAATTTAAGTTATTGTCATAGTAGCATCCTCCTCGTTACATATAAATTCTTCTTGTACTGATGATTTAATTCATAAACGTCTAATTAGTTTCAAGGCTTATTTACTGTAGTGCCCCCTGAAACTTTGGTCAAATATCACATTACCCCCTGAATGTTAAAATGACCTAGAGTACCCCCTTGACCAAGGCTTGGTGGTTCACTTTGCCCCCCACTGTTAACGCTGTTAAAAATTATGTTTAAAATACTGATGTGGCACAAATAGGACCCACTTTTTTGTTGAAATATATGTCACCTAAGTGCCACATGTAAAAAAAACAATAAAATATTTTATTTAAAAATTATAACAAATAGAAAATTACATTACTTCTTTCTTCTTTCCCTCCCCTTCCTATCTCCACTTGAGTCCCGACCTCCTCCCCTCGCTCTAACCAACTTAGCTGCCCAAAAACCCTCAAAACCACTCCTTCCAAACGGCGCTGGAGCACACCGACTTGCTACTGTGGATGGACTAGTACAAGAAGATGAAGAAGCATGTGGCGTTTGCAAGAGCGATAGGGGACAGTGTTTTCAACACGATCATATGGGACGTGGTGGTCAACCCCTCGTTTCAACAAAAGAGTTGGTCATATTTGTGCCACATCAACATTTTTAACAGAGTTAACAATGGGGGGACAAAGTGAATCACCAAATTTTGGTTAATGGGGTACTTTGGGTCATTTTAACTTTTAGGGAGTAAAGTGAAATTTGATCATAGTTTCAAGGGGTACTACAGTAAATAGGCCTTAGTTTCAAAACCATCCTGAGCAAAGGAGTGTAAATTCTAGAAATATAACTTGGCAGAGGAGAAGAGGAGAAAACATGTCAGAGCAGGCCAGATGAGACAGAGAGAGATCGAAGCCAACTTGCAAATGTGATTATTAATAATAACCTAGAGGCAGCCAAAATATAATGAGCCTTGGAAAATGTAAGATGTCAGATATAGAGATTTCTATTCTCATCTCTCCTCCTCCATATAAAAAATCTTAAACCAACTGTCTTTCACCACCTCCAAACTCTTGTCTAATAATTATAATCCAAATCCCAATGCCTATCTTCAGCCCCCAACAATGCTCATTTCTTGAAACTTGGCCATTGTTTTGACCAACCCAACTTACACTAGGGACAATACATCAAGTCTTCTTTTCCTTGAGCTCTTCTCAAATCCTAAGTCCACTCTAATTAAAACTTACAATCAGCCACTTGCCATATTTAGGGCTGATTTTTGACGGATCGAATTGGAATTGGGAGATTCTAATTCCAATAATAAAAATTTAGAATAAAAATTCTATTCCAATTGTGTTTCATAAAATTTCAAATTTTCAATATCCATTCTAACTCGGAATTTTCAGAATTTGTGGAAAATTTTGAAACTTACATATTTTGATTTTGATTTTTTTTGAAAATTTTCAAAAACTAGTTCAAAATTATAAACATGCACAACCATAGAAAGATTAAAATTGACTCAAAATTGAAAACTCATATTATAAGCTTGAAAACTATTATATGCTAGTACTTATTAAATGTTACTATCATATTATAATAATTTGTCTATATCTATTTGGTCATCAAATTATATTTAGTTCAACAAGAAATTAGTAATTGTGCGTAGTCTAAGCTTGAAACCCCAATATATTTGGAATTCGAAATCTCTAGATACATTCCAATTTCAATCCATTTATTTTTGGATGTCAGAATTAATTTGATTTGCCAAAATAAAAAACTTTCATAACAAAATCGGATTTTCCAATCCAACTTGCACCCTTAGCCATATTGCACCATTTTTCAACCACATCAGCCAACAAATTCCACTCAAAACTAAAAGATAACCACACTTTAAATTATGTAGTAAAATTTCAGATGTGCCACTAAAATATGCTCTATCGGCTTAATTTTTTTTTTGTACTCTTTTTTTGGGTCAAAGATTATTTTGTACTCTAGGGAAGTGACGAAAAAGAAGAAGACAAAGTAAAAAGCATAATCCATACGACTGAATCATGGAAATCTTTCTTTACATTACATGCACCACAATCTTACAAGACCTACATTAATGGCTTGAGGGAATCACATTGTCTTCTATATAAGGGATCTCAACATGATATTTGTAGTGGGAACTCCAATGCCATTGCACGTGCATCAGCTATCTAGTAGTCACGTGACTTGCGAGGAAAATGCAGCATCGTTGAACCAGACGACCTCACTGTGAAAACAGCATTCCAGATCTCAGTGAAAACTCTGATAATAATTCCATGGTTGCAAGGTGCGTTGAGCTGCAAGAAACAGTTGAGAAGCTCTCTGAGATCATCTTTCGCGTATATTTCGTTTTCCAGTATCATTTGGAGCATCGAGTGTCGAAAATCCAAGTAAGGATCGCCTGAGTCTTTCTCCACGGCCACACTCTCGTTGCCAATTCTCCCAAAACCTTGGACGGCTCTTGCGCTCTTTGGCTTGACCTCTGTGTCCAAAAATGGAGCATAGTCTGTGTTTGGAGAGAATGTGGTGGCGTTGTTGTTGGCTTTGTAGACTTTGTTGCATGAGCTTGAAGATGAAGAGAAATTGTTATGGTGGTGGTACTTTTGTTTTTGGGTTGTGGTGGGTTTTGGCTTTGGATGGAATATGTGGAAGAGTTTTGGTTTTCTGCAGTTGCTGCAACCTATGTCCACTGTAACTTTGTTCAGGAGCTTTCTTCTGGTTGTAGGCATTGTGAGAGAGAGAGAGAGAGAGAGAGAAGGGTTGAGTTGCTGAAGGAGTGAGGGTGGTGTGTGAGGGAGTTGGGATGAGGAATTTGACTAATTTGGATTGGGGGGGAGGAGGGGTGACTCTATAAAGTCAGCATGTGAACTCCTGAAGGGTCCCTACATGCTACCATGACTGCTCTGTCAGTTTATTTCAGGACAGCTTCATCTCCACCGCACAATTTGATGCCAAAAGAAGAATATCAAGATTTGTCATTGATTTGCTGTCTCCCAGTCATCATGATTCTTGATCTTTATCGATATTAATTTTTTATTAATATATAAGTGATAATCTAAATTATTTTAAATTAACCTAATTTATAAGGAGAGAGACAAATTTGAGTGTAATAGCTCACTATCCTAACCAACTAACTTAATCCATATCTACAATAGTCACTGCTCATTTGTATAATTAATTGAACCATTCATCATACATATTCCTTGTTAAAGTTCAATGCAGAGTCTAAATTCACAATCTAACAACAACGTAGCATTTTGAAACTATAGCGCTAATATATTAGTAAATGAGGTATAAATAGTTTTATTTTTCAAGGTACGCAGAAATGCTAAAGTCTACAAGCAGGCAGCTTAAACCAATTTGTAGTCTCTAGACTCTAGTATAACTAAACAAGCAACAATTAAGTGTACTGTACACTCTTTTATTGACTTATTATGCATCCAATTGCAAGTCTAATCTTTGCATCCCAAAGAGGAACATGGTGGGCCGGGCCAGGTAATTACTGTGATGCTTTTTGATTCTTGATCAACTTTGCTACATGCTCGGCCACCCACAATGAACCGGCCTCAGTACAACAAAAACCATGATCAGTGAGGCCCTCTCTTTCAATTGATAGAGCAGCATCTGGAACCTGCTTGGAAATCTGGGACCACAGAAACACCAAGTAAATCTAGATAGTCAAATTGGAAAAATGTCAAAAGCAGAAGTAAAAGAATGGCCAAAACCAAATTGCAACACACTCAACTGCATGAAGAACTACAATAACAATTCCGAACCCAAATCAATTAAAAATTTAAGGAACTTATTAAATTACCTCTTCAAACATCTGCAGTGGACCCCAGTGATCATCATTGCCAAACAAAAATGCAATTTTGTGTTGATTTTCCCTCATGAATGCCCAATCTGGTGTTTCTGAAAGCTGACATTGAAGGCAAACGGTAAGCACAAGTATGTTTGTCACAGTTCTAACTTTCCTAGATGAACTATGCAGCAATTTTGGTGTTTGCTGAAGCTGAAGAGGCAATATTTGCAAGAGAATATCATACGCTAACGACACTTCCATTTATAAAACCACATGATGGCACCCTGTGGTGGTCAATTACTACGGTTGTTTTCAAATTAATATTTGTAATCCATCAATTACAACTAACATCTTCAATTTACAAAAAGCAAGAGTTTTACCTTTCTGAATTCTGTCATTGCCATAAAGAGGACATTTCGCATGGTATGGTACTGCAAGTATACAAATGAAATGTTGATGGAAAAGATTCAAAACAAATGTGCGCATGTACACACACACTCACGAAAAACATACGGTTTGATAGTGGTAAAACAGTTAAATCAGTAAAACATTGGTAGAAGCTCCTTGATAATAATAAATAGCATGCGCAAGAAAAGAAAAGGTTGATGACTTTTTGGAAAATATTATATGATGTAAGGAGCCAACTTCATCAATCTATTACAAGACAAACCTTTACCTTTACCAAGTGAGAGCAAACAGCGTCAACTGCAGTAGCTGACCAGAACTTCCCAAGGAATGTGGTCACAATTAACCTCAACAGTCGGATAGGCAACAAACCCAAGAGCACAACAATAAAGCTGAAGACAACACATAGAATACGGGACCTGAAACACACAATTCTGTGATTTTAATCTTTATCAATGCCTTATGTTAGATTGTCACCACTAATATGATTAAATGAGTTTATAGCGGAACCAACCATTATACATTAGGACCAAGTGAGAATTCCAAATAAAAGGTTAAAAACAATTCATTGACTGTCAGTTTTCTCAAGTGAAATCAACACAGCTTAACAGACACCACCGCAAGTAGGCTTTAAATAAAATAATGCAACCAACAAGTACCAGCTAACAGGGAAAACACGCGGTATAATAACTGTCTATTGCATGTGGATGAAGCAGAGAAGATGCCTCTAATGTATACGACATAATAAATGGTATTGTCATTCATAACAAAGTAAGAATTTTACTCTGCAATCTTCCCAATAATATACTGCTTTCTGGATTGTAGGTTTAGTGCCAAAAATGGATATAGTCCAATACAATATTTCACCTACAATTCCAAAAACTATGTCAGTGAACAGGTTCTCCATAGTCAGAAACCTACGGATGGTAGCATAACAAATGAGTAGTTAACAAATGTTATCACCTTCTCTGGAGACCTCTTAAACATTTCGACAGATATATATGAACCAATAGAGTGCCCAACCTGCAGGAAAATAAATCTGTTTTTTATAAGAACAAAAATAAAAATCAGAAACAAGAAATCCAATTTCTCAATTTTCAAATTCTCTCCTGAAATCACCCTGTAGATAAGTTGGTGATCACAGCAATTATTGAGATCACCACCTGTAAAACGACTCAAGAACACAAAGACAATAATGGTATACTGATAATTCTAGTTCAAAACCAGGAAATTCTGACAGATTTTCATCACCCAACATTGATCGAAGATGAAAATCACTCATATAGAATGATTATCAAATTCCTTTACTTGTTTTCTACGTAGGAGAAACACGATATGGATAACACCAGCATTCAAAAACCAGAGGAAGAGAGGGCACTCCATCATAATTCTATTATGCAGAAACTTCAGAACATAGTTGCGTATGTTCATGAGATGAAAAAAAAATCTATTCTCCACAAACAGTCGAACCAAAAAGAAACTAAACAAAGAGAAAAGTTTGTGTACTGACACTGTATTGACACTTTAACAACAAGACACATGGAAGTAGTTCCATGCTTATGGGTAGTTAGTGTGTTAAGTAATATTTTATGTCTATTCACCGATAAAGGTTAGTGGATACAGCATTGCTGACAAGAATTGATACAGAACTCAAATGCAAGAGATACCTAACTTGGTCCCACAATCGTAAGGTCATTTAGGAACAGATATTGCACTTATATGCCCCTCTTCTACACACAGCAGACATCACACTGAAAATAGAGACACAAATTGGACATAGAAAATTATCCCACCAGTAATATAGGAACTTCATTATTTTGCAATTCCTGTCTGATGACGTCCATCTGCAAAAACATGAATTTAATTGGAAGTCAGAACCATATTTGACACTCATTATACTTTTTTGTTCTTTTGCCAGAGCCACTCTAATATAACTAATAAGTTTCAATATAGAAAAATTGGTGTACACGTGCCATTAGGAAAATACTGGAAATGGGGAAAATAGAATAGTGCTCTAATAGAAATCTATGAATAAAGGTCAGTTCTGGAAGTCAAAGTTGAATTTTGTAGTAAATAGAATGCTTGGAATGAGATTAAAAATTATTTCAGAACCTCAATTCAGTAATTTGGGTATTGATTCCACAATTCTGTCATTATTGAGACATTGCCCAGATACCAGTAGATCAATGAACAAGACATTTGATTATGAAGGCAACAGCATTCAACATGCTTCCCTCCATTATACAGGACATTAAACCACCAACTTGAAGATGTACAACAGATCTCAGTTCACTCTTATCCAGTCAACAATTTTCTCAGAACCAATACATCAAGCAGATTATACCTTATGATTAATTTGTTCTTGTAATGAGAACAACCTTCCATGCTCCCAGCTCTACAAAGAAGAAAATATCGTATAAAAATCATGACCATGCCACAAATCACTGAAGCAAAGTGTCAAACAAGAAATAATATACTGGATGCTTCTTACGCAAATATATGTGTATGTGTGTGTGTGTGTGTATGTGTGTATTCTATATAATTTGTCAAACACAGCAAACCATTTCTTCGTATGAAGGACCATAAAAAGATCATGTATCTTATAATATTAATTGATAGGAAGTCATGAAAATAGTTCTCAAACTAAAACAAAAAGGAAAATCCTAGACTTGCAAGAACTTTACCACATATATAATGAAAGGTAAAAATATAGACTTGAATGCATTATTAGTTGGTATTAATCTTACAACCGACCTTGAAATTAGAATCTTTCAGATTCAGAAGCATCAGAACTTAGGCCCATCAGATGCCCACCCAGCCTGTTATCCTATCCAAGCATATAGCATTCTGAGTTCTTCCTTTTAAAACTTAACTGATTCCTAGAACCATTGTTGTCAAACACATATAAACACTCCTGCTCAGTTTGCCTTAGATTTTATCTCCAAGAAAAGGACAAAAAGACCTTGTTAGTGGCTTTTGGTTCATTACGTCTGTGATCTGTCCAAAGTTATTACCTTTAACGAAACAAACATCAAGTTGGTTCACCTAATGCACTCCAACTAATGAAGTACTTTCATTTACAGATACTTTGAAGCTCAGGAGACTGCAATAATTTCCAAGAATTGTCTGAAATGTAGGTTTTCGTTTTCTTCATCCTATAAGTTTTTAACATATTGCTAATTGGCCAAAAGAAACCTTAGTAAAGCTACTCAGGAGGATTAGCCACACAAAACCAGGGTACACTTTAATTTATTTTCATGAAACTCCCGTAAGCTTTACAATGGGCAGGAAACAGAACATAACCGTGATCAATTCTAAAGACTGATTGGCTGGTTGCAAAGGAAAGCAGAGTACACTACTGACAATCATAAGCAACAAAGGGCAAGAAGTGGAAATTTATGGAAAGTGTAATACCACTACGGCCTAACCTTGTATAAGCAAAATGTAATACCTTTTTTGTTTGAGATATATGCCCAACAGCTGATGATATGCACAAAATTGCAAAAATAATTAGCATAAATATTACAATTTCTAAAACAGTTAACCAAAACAATACAAAATAAACACCCAAGTCTTGCCTGTCACAGACGCAGTTCCACCCAGCAGCTCATATAGTGACTCCAAAAACTCTTTATAGAATAAAACAACACCTACAATACCAACAGCCCAAATCACAATTCTCACAATTGAATGAGTGACAGAAAGAAAGACACACCTAAACACACAAACCCACCTGGATTTCCAGGGATAACTACAACATGCAATGTTGGATCGTCAGCTCGAATCTCCAGTATTTCAGTAGCGTAACTGAGCAAGACATCAAACAAAAAGAACCCATGTAAAAATAATCGCCATTATAACAAAGCATAAAGGATTTGAAAGCAAAAGCAAGCACCTTGACACATTGCATAAACGTAATGTTGCGCGCCTCTTCACTTGAATCACTTCACATTCTGAACTGTCCTGGCCCATTTCTCTGCTCGCACAATACAATCTACACCTTGATAAGTATCAGAATATAACTATCAGAATATCAATGTATCATGCTGCTGGCTAAGTACCTAACTCCCTAACTCTACGAAACTATGAAAGTGAGGACTTCCAGGTGTCTTTCTAGCCTAGCTTCCTAAGTGGGTAGGTAGCTATTTAATTTTAATTAAGTTAATGCTACGAAGTACAGAAAGGTGAGGGAAATGGAAAAATACCTTGACCGGGAAGAGACTGAGAAGGGTCGGGCAATGGAAGGAAAGAGCCGGAGGAGCATTTCTCTGTATTTCGGTATTTTGTTGTTTACTTATATGCTTTGGAAGTTTTTAATTTTTCTTTTTTTCTTTTTTTTTGGGTCAAATTTAATTTCAACATAATCTCTTTTACTTTATGACATCTTCCAAAATTGCAGAACATGTTAAAACACTATATTATTCATTTCTACATCCTCAATTATAAAGGTAGGTTAAACATACTCATAATTAGCGTTACGCTAGCATAGTTAAAAGAGCTATGAGTTGGGATACATTGCTAGTATTTTTACTCTTTAAAGTAGATTAACACTTTTATTAACGATTTGTACATTGTCAACTATAAAGATAATAAATAAGAAAGGATACATCTAGTGAACGTTTGGCAAGGATACATCTAGTGAACGTTTGGCAAGTCGGGTGACTAAAAGTCTAAAGTATAGTATTTCTTAATTATTGTTGGGACGAATAGGCTAGAGAAGTATGGGTTAAAAAGCCATATACGTTCCTATGTTGTGAACCATAAAAAATTTCACATATTTCATCAGTTCTAACAACATATAGTAAATAGGAGTCTACTACCATAATGAATCTCCTTACAACATCCTTGTACTCTATTTTTTTGGTCAAAAACATATTAGTACTTTAACTCCTTAAAGTGGGTTGAGCTACAACCTACCTCAGCCAAAGTTTGGGTCATCATCAGTGCCCGCTTAAATACATCATCTCATCTGACATCCTGTTACATTAATTAATCAACTATAAACAAACTATTATTTAGTTATGAGACTGATCACCCGTAGTGTGTGTTTGATAACAAGACAAGATAGTTTGGGCTTCTCTTTTTTATTTTGTTGAGCCCGTGTTTATTTTTCGGGAGAGGAATCAAGTTGCACACATCAACTCGAGGTCCTGTGTTCGAATCTATCCTTACTCAATATCATAAATAGTGATCATACAAACTCGTGGATGACATGAAGATCATTTTCACGCAGGAAACAGAGAGGGGAGCAGACTTGGAAGCATAATGGACAAAAAGGAACTCTCAGTACATTTTCGAGGAAGTTGCAGGAAATTGAAATGTACACACACCATATATCAAACAATTGCTTCTTGGCTCATTCCACCTATAAACATGATTTGTTTCTAAGTTTATATTACTTGGGGAGAAAGCGAGATCTTATTCAGGAACAAAAGCCATGGATTAGTCCATACGTTTGACTACTGCTGATAAAATTAGTTCCACAAATATATGTTTATTTTTATGATTGTCCATTAATTATTAATTAGTTGTTGTCTGGTTGGCCTAATACAACAACTTTCCAGGATGCATCCAATATCAATTTCATCATGGTGGGGGATAAATATAATTAAAATTTGACTCATCCGAAACCTTTTTTTTTCGAAAAAAAAAGTTATATTAAGCCGGAATTCTTCATACAACATTTGTATACAATAATCTGTCACTTAATCTACAAAGTTAGTTTTTGGTTGCTTTGTGAGGTTGACTGTCGTTTGACTACTAAATTATTGTTGCATATAAATTGGGATAACAAATTGCCTCTACATAATGGACATTATCTATAATACATTAAAGTATCTTTCCTTCATTTTTCTAAAGCAAGGGTAAAATTCGAGCTGTTCTACTTTCCATGCTATAATGGCCAATTTCTCTTAACAGGATCTTCACATATCGGTACAACAAAAAAAGGTACTTTAGTCGAGTTTGTAGCTCAAATAATTAAGAGTATTTTTGCAACCGAAGTCTTAGGTTCTCTGTCCTCCAATATTGTCTGTATGAAAAAGAAAAAGTTACTTCAAGGTTTTCTTCCTCTTATTTTATTCTTTTTTTGGGCTATTATCTTCCTCTTTTTTATTGTTTGCTAAAGTTGGGAAGAGAAATGGGGGTCTTCTCACACACATTACTAAGGTGTTACGAGAATTCGAATATAAGATCACTGGTCTACAAGTCAAAATCATTTTTCACTAACTTGGCGATGTTGGCATCTTCCCTTATTTGTTATTGACCAATGGCTGAAGTTAAACCTAGTTGGATCGGACCTGACCAATTCAATGGTAGTACTATAAAATCCCACTTTAAAAAAAGATGGGTCAACGAAATGTGAACTGACAAATAAACCCTTATTCCATGTGAACAATCTGATAAAGTTATGTCTGCTCTCCCTCAGCTGTTTTGTTTCATCATGTTTCTGAAGTGGATTGCCATTGACTTCCCAACCTATAACTATCCGAGTCGTTGGATGAAACAGTTATTTTATTTTATTTTATCAAACTTTACAAGACTCAATCCCATTGCAATTCCACTGGATGAAGATGCATTTTATGATTAAGTAGGTTTTGTTTCTTCGAAGCATCATGCATGCACATCTCTTGTGCATTGGATGTTGACTAAAGGTATAAATATAAATAAAAATTATTAGCAAAATTGTGTATGATGTTCTAACTACGTGATAAAACTTAGTGACAATATTTGATGATGATGATGATAATCGTTTTACTGTTTTTTTTTGTTGGAGCACATGACGTTTTTTAACTGAATTATTTTGTCATTCAGCACTTACACGAGCCAAGAAGGAAGAAGCCGTAAAAAATATCTAAACAATTTTTTTCTTGTAATAATATCATTCAATTAATATTTGAAACAATTAGTCTTGTTCCACTTTGTTGTGGACAATTATTTATGTTGTTGATTTTTTTTATATATAAAAAAATTGTTGATGAGGAAGAGAAAAATGACTATTTTAAAGTGATAGTAACAATTTTCAAAAAATATATGTGAATCATATTAGACAAAATAAAAATAAATAAATAGATAAGCAAATTCCAAATCATTTCCTACGTACCCTCTGGTGACTGGGTGCTTTCTACATGGAATGACAAAAGTGTCCTCAACGAAACTCAACTGCCAAACGGTAAACCCGTCATTGATGAAGAATCCCGAGAAATCCCTCCGGCAGAATTGCGTGTAAAAATGATAAGGAGGCGTCCATCGCAAGAAATCCTCTTTAGTTTTCTTTAATTTTAATTTATTTTATATCCCAATCGCTGTTCATCTCTCATATCTCTAATCCTCTGTTCTTTGTTTATTATTAATAACTAAAACTCCCCAAAACTCCATTGTATATATATAGATTCACAGACCCAACCAAAGATATATACCATTTTTAGAATTTGCCTATTTCTTCCCGTCTCAAACTCCTTGCGAATTTGTCTCATTCTTGCTGATCCTCTCTTTCTCTTTCCTTGAACACATTCCTTCACAGAAATCATAGATTAAAACCTATTTCTTCCAAAGAATAACAAGCCCTTCTGGTTGGTGATTGGAACTCCTCAAATGGGCATTTTGGGTTCTGGCTTTCTGAAACTTCTTTCTTCTTTTTAGCTTGCTTAAAACCAGGTAATATATCAATCAGCTTTTGCTTTCCTTTCTGGGTTTTGAATTCATGCATCATTTTGTTTTTGTGGCCATTATTAATTAATAACTCTGTTTCATGTCGCAGGAATTCAAATATATATTTATATATTTTGTGTGGTGTTTGATGTTAAAGGGTTAAAAGATGTTGGGAAGCTTGCTTACCAGATGCCTTATGTATGTTTTATATTGTCTGTTGAGTTTGGATTTGGGTTTGTTTTGATCTTCGACTTTACCTTTTTTTATTTTCTTTTTGGTTTCTTGCTTGCCTTTGTTGAATGTCTCTCTCTCTCTCTCTCTCACTCTCTCTCTCTGCAGAATGTTTCTTGGGTATGCATACCCTGCATTTGAGTGTTATAAAATTGTGGAGAAGAACAGAGTTGAGATTGAAGAACTCCGGTTTTGGTGTCAATACTGGTACGTGAAAAGCCTGTCTCTAATTTCTGCCTCTTATTGTGAGACTGGCTTCGACCAATTCATTTTCATGGGCTTTTTCTCTTGAAAATTTTGGCACTTTGATTGTCATCTCATCCGGCATACAAACTTACATATCCTATATTCGATTTTAAATTTAAAAACACTCGGTTTTACCTTATATGGGAAAATATGCATCTAGCGTTTACTTTAAAAAGCTTGACAAATTATACATATTCGGTTTTTACTTTTAAAACTTTAAGCGGTACCTACCAAAACCTGTCACGTGATATAGAAGTCCCCACTAAAGTTTTTCTCGGAGTTCTTCGTCATCCATAATTGTTGTCACAACAAAATATTTTCCAAGACAAAAATTGGAGGGAACGAATGCTTTAATGATTGGTCAATTGCATCGCCATACATGTGATGAAATATGGTTCATGGCCTTATCTACTCCATTTCCTTGTTTTCATTGTGGGTCGCTATTGATGTAAACATACCATTGAAAACATTTTGGTGACTTTTTGTGGATTGATGATTTTATCTCTTTAATGTTATTGGCATGTTTAATTGACCTCCAGATTGGTATGTCCCATTGAAGGCATGCCTATACCATATGGCCCCATATATCTATACAGATAGATATAGGGATCTATTTGCACAGAAAAAGGTCAAATAATCATAGCAAATAATAACAGAAACGAAGGGATGTTTTTAACTTCCAAAATCTTTTACAGGATTATTGTGGCCATGCTTACAGTTCTAGAGAGGATTGGAGACGTTTTCGTTTCATGGTATAAACCCTAATTGATTATATGCTTGTTTTCATCACTTACGTTTTGATGTATGCTAAAGCAATTTTTCTGAAATATGAAGGTTGCCCATGTATGGTGAGGCGAAGGTGGCCCTTTTTATCTACCTCTGGTATCCAAAGACCAGGGTAAGAAAAATGTTTTTCCTTTTTGAGATCATTGGTTGCATGCAACCAGTCTTTTACATTACTGTTCGTGTGCTAGTCACGTGATTAGTTATTGCGAGAGACCACTTAATAGATGTAATTCATGTGAACACCTTTTGAATTTATGTTGTAGGGAACTGGGTTTGTGTATCAGACACTGTTGAGGCCATATGTAGCAAAGCATGAAACAGACATAGACAGGAAACTGCTGGAGCTGAGAGCAAGGGCCTGGGATTTGGCGGTTTTCTACTGGCAAAACTGCGCCCAAATGGGCCATTCAGCTTTCTTCCAAGCCCTTCAATACTTGGCTTCACAGTCCTCAAAGTTCACCAAAACCCCCGCCAAAGAGGTAGGTACATTATCAACATTTTACACACAAGTTGCAAACACAAACAAATTCCACATAAACGAAAATGAAGATTCAAACTCTTCTGGGTAATGCGTAACTGGAAATTGATTTGTTTGATTGATTGAACCAATCTCTCGCAGCGGACGGTCGACGATGATCAGCAGAACCCACCGCCACCTTCAAACGCACCGCTTCGCAAACCCAGTGGGAAGAACAAGTGGCCGCCGCCGTCATCTCCGCCAGGATCACCTAATGGCACAACCACAACCGCCAATGGCACAATCACAACCGTCAATCGTTTCATGTCCGAGACTCCGAGATCCCCCAAGGTGCAGGTTCAGGCCAAACATCAAACAGAAGGCGGGCAGGTTAACGAGCTGTCCGAAAAGCTCAGGCTCAGGCGTTCCAAGCCAATCCAATGAGAAATTAGAATGTAACAACAACAAAAAAAGAAAGAACAAACGAAATTGTACAAATCCCACAGACAGAATCGATTGATTGATTGATCAGAACTCTGTATTGGAACTGAAAATTCTTAAACTTCAAATTCAAATTCATTCATTCAATTCCATTTTCTTCGAGTCAGTATATACACAGATGAGCAAAAAGTGAAGACGTCGTTGTGTTAGCTGGTGAGGCCGAGACAGAGGAGTGTGCGGCGGAATGCTTGGGAGAGAAAGGGGATGAGGGTGTGGGTGAAGAAGGAGAAGCACGGGCACGGAGAGAGCTTGAGGCAGAGGCGGCGGAGGAAGTTTGGGCCTGATGGGCCGGAGGTGGAGGACATGGGCTGGAGGTAGGCCCAGGCGGCCTGCTTCACGAGGCGGTTGCGGATGGAGATCTGGTAGCCGGAGTTGGCTGCAGTGGCGGCGGTAGGCGAGTTCACGGCGGAGGGGGAGGCGGATGAGGGGAGGAGGTCTTTGAGAGACGTGTAGGATTCGGAGCCCTTGAGGGAGAGGAGCTCCAGGTTGAGCTGAGGCGGCGGCGGGCGGGAAGAGAAGTCGCCTTTTTGGGCGGGGAAGCTGGAGGTGTGGAGGCCGTGGAGATGCTTAGTGGGAGGAGTGGTGGGGGAGAGGAGGCTGATATTGGTGGGGACCACGACGGATGTGGAGATAGAATTTCTGCGGCGGAGCTTCCATGGTGGGCTGAGGGCGGTGGATGAGGAGTCCATAGCTGTTGAGCAGAAGAAAAGAAAGCAAGAATGCGTTGTGTTGTGAGAGAGAGAGATAGAAACGAGAAACGCGGTGTTTGGGTTCCGGCGGCTTGCGCTTTAGCAATTATTGTCCTACAAACAAACTTCGTTTTTGTCACTATTCGCACACACTATCTTTTATTTCTTTAAAAATTAATCTCCCAGAATATGCGTGGGGTCCACTCTCTGATGACCCTGTGCATTGTTCTCAAATTTCTCTTTTTCGTTTTTTTGTTTTTTACTGGTTCTGGCAGTGAACATGATTTTAGACGAGCTACTTTCACGAGCAATGCTATGTTTACATCTAATTTATGTATTACTTTTTTAATATAAGTGTTTATTAAAGAAATAGTACACAAAATGATATATAAATATAATATGACTAGCACGTTTATATTTTCGCTGATACTCAGGGAGGGATTTGGGAACACACAACTTGTTTTTACAAAATCATACTCTTTTAGGAAAAAAATATATATTTATTCATTTTGGAAGTATTTACGTATTTATGTGTCATGATATTCAAGGGGTTTTGTGTCAACTTATCTATAATCTATACTATAAGAAATACCCTCATTTGTCCCTATTTTACCATTATCATAATTGAAAGAAAATAAAAACAAACTAATAAAAAGTAACTATAATTCTAGTTTTTTTTTTTTTTTTTTTTTTTTTTTTTTTTTTTTTTTTTTTTTTATCCCAAAAGGTTTGCGAATTAATCATCAAAATATCATCCCTAACGTTTTTTTGTAACACTAATGGTCCTTAAGGTTACCATTCACACATCAAAATGGTTCATTAGCCTTCATCAAATTTTTTGGTTAAATTGTTGAAGTGGCACATATGTGGAGCCTACACATCCAATGATATAGAGCCACGTGATTTTAAATAAAATAAAATTTATTTTAAATATTTTAAAACTTAAAATACATAAAATAAAATAAAAACAATTAAAAAGGAATTAAGTGTTTTTAGGAAAACAAAAAACCGATCCAAGGCAAGGGGCCATAGAAGGCGCAATGCTCTTTCTTCAACTCCTCTCCACCATTATCAATGCCAAGCCCTCCTCCTCCTCCTCCTCCTTCCTCACCAACCCAAACCCAAAAGCCCGAAACCCATGCTTTCTTCCCCATTCACTGTTCGCTCTGTCCTCCAATACAAGAGGAAGAATCAGACTTGATCCAATTTCTATTTACGCAAGTCAAAAAGAAAAAGGAAACATATGTTTTTTGTTTTGGGAAAATTTAAGGCAAAGTTGGCCTGGAAAAGACTCCTCCAACGTGAAAAAGATGATCACAAACAACGTAGTCCATGCATGGTAATTAACAAATGGTGGATTAGTGACCGTGGTGTGGAAGTGAAAACATCATAACATCATATTAATAATATAATATTACTTAACCATATGATTGATACTGATAATTCAATAGAATACCAGACAAATCAACTAAAAAACCTTCTAATAACAAACGAAATCTCTTCAACTCCTCTCCACCATCAACTAGAAATGCATCTTATACTTATAATGCATAAGAATCCACAGGATATCAAAGCGGTCTCTGAAGGCAGACATATGCACAATCTCACCGGCCCTGAACATCTCCTGACTCACAATCTGGTTCCAGCCACGTGTTAAAACATGACCATGGTTTCCAACCGACATCAGATACATCTCGCCTGTTTGAAGTGAGTTGGGTCCCATGAAAAACACTTTACGTGTTTTGTTAGTAGGTATGCCACATAAGTTGTCACCTAGTTGTTGTTGTAGATGGAGATTATCAGTCGTCATATCGTTTTGAGAAAATGCAATTTCGGCAACGTTGTGTACGATTTGTTGAGGCTCTATTTTAAGGTCACTTAGTCGGGTGAGCATGTATTGAGGAATTTCAGCCATCTTCTTCCAAAATTTGATTGAGAATAATGCACAGACGACAATCGACGAAATCCAAGCAGGCAATGGCCTCCTATATATAACTAAGTACCCGAAAACTTGATTGTTAAGATACTTGAATACCACAATTATAAACCACATTATGTGGCATGTCAACTCATTTAATACACTCATGTGTGCCTTATTTTTTTTTAATCACCCCTAATTATTATTTTTTGGTCGAATATCCTAATTAAAGCATTAAAAAAAATTAGCATGAGTTGGGGGTGGGGGGGAGGTAGACCAGGGGGAAGAGGTGTGTTTAAATAATTTATTGTGCATATTAAAAAGAATTGTTTGGCCCTAAATTTCACGTGTCAGCCCAACTAACTATTAGCCCATGTCAAAAACAGTGGTTTGGGCTTTGTGTTACCAAAATCAAAAATCAACCCATGTGGGTTTAGAGGCCCAGACTTTTATGAACCAATTGCAAGGAATAAATTTACATATTAAAGACTAATCGTCATTAATGGTGATTTAATCTAGACAAATCAGTTTCTAATTGGTTAAAAATTAAGCCCCGTTGCTAGTCTCTCCAAAGGTTCAAAATTTGATCATCATCGTTGATCACAATTTCAGATATCAGGTCAGCAGATTCTTGGGGAAGATCTTTCTCTCAAGAAAGCCCACATGACTCTAAAGTAAAAATTTCAACATGGCAAAGGACGTGATGAGGAGTTGGTATAAGGTTTAATTGGAAAACCACTCCCCATAACCATTTAATGCCAGAAAAGAGGGCCAAGTTTCTTTCCTACGCTCGTGAGGATTTTGCATTAGGGCAAGTGGGGTTTACAAGAGATAAACAAGAAATAAGAGAGTTGGTTGATAGGAGATCAAAACTGATCATCATGAAAGCTGACTTTTGATGGGGGTTTTCTGTTGTCAGACTAAACCACTATTCCTTTTTTGCGCTGGAACAAGGAATCCTTTCAATTATTTCTTCCTCTAGATATTAAGATTCTCTATAAATATAAGAGGAGATGCGCAGGATAAAGGATAGCCAAAAATTCTCAGTCATACTGACAAACTAAAACAAGATCATACGATCTCAAAAGCCTTTAGACTCTGAAGCAATCAAGCTCTTTGATTTACAAAAGACATCCAGTCTTTGACAGAACAGGCAGAATTCAGGTTTCTGACTTCAAGTTAAACTTAAAGAAGCAGCTCACTAAGAGGACGAGATTTCTCTCGTTAGGAATTTGGTTCAACATATGCGAATCAAGCAAAACTCAAGTTTTTCATAATATGAAAACCTCAACAAATTTATAGGAGATGCCTTTATCTCTTAGAATTACCAGAATAGCTCTTGGATGATTCATAATCAAGCAGAACAGGTACTGAAGTGTAGCTCCAGGTTAGCAATCGTCAATCCAACCACTTCCAGCCGCATCCAAACTCAAGATATCTCAATTTTGCCCATCCAACAAGCCTTTCCATGGCTAAAATAGATTAAAACTCTACCAATCTCAACATTGGTATCGATTTCCAGCTAAACCTCATCAGCTGAAGGTGCTGACATTTGAATCCACAGATATATCCAATCCAGCCTGAATCATAGGCAACAATCCAAGTAGAAATCGAAGCCCAATGTTCTGATGTCCTTCCAGACGTGACATTTTTCTTTTGTTTTAAATTGTGTAATAGACAGTTCTCTTTAAAACAGTCTGATTTATTTTCAATATTCATTTTGGCCATAACTACTAGTTTTTACTGTGAGAAATTATGAAGTTCTCACCAGTCTGAGGTAATAAAAGAACTTACTTGATAGATATTCCTCACCCAAATTCACAATCACTTGTTTAAAATTTGTAACTTGGGGCGCAAGTTATCTATTTTTCGTAAGTCTATTAGAGTCTTGACTGCTAACAGTGGCACACTCGCACACCAAAGAAAGTTGACTTATTGACCACAAATGGTTTTCAAGTCAACGGGAAATTTTACCCTATCATCACAGGAACTAAATCTAAACGGGTGAACAAGAATTTTCCCAAAACTGATTTTTTTATTTTCTAAAATCTGCATATTAAATTATATATTTAATTAACAACATTCTTTCATCTTATTTCAAGTAAGTTTTTAACGGCCAAAATATTATTTAAAGAAATTAACATAGAACGAAGATATAAACCAACATTTCATATCCTCAAAGTTCAACCGACAGTAAAGTTGAAAGCTAACAACGAAATTTTCATCAAAAGAGAAGGTTAATCATATTATTTTAAGTATAAGAAAAGTGACACATGTCATGAGGAAAATGGAGAATGTCTAAGAGAGAAAGTTGCTAGCATTCTCCATTATTATTATTATTATTTATAACACAAGTGAGAACCTAAATTATAAGGGGAGGGGATCTCACACACATTACCAAGATGTCATGAGGGTTTGAACATGTATGCAAATGAAGACCCCTTTCTATTGCACTAGACCCGATTCGCAACTATTTTCTTTTTAAAAATTAACAATTTCTTTTGTGTTTTATGTACATGCACAATTTGCGTATTTTTCTTCTTGTAAGAACCGTACTCGATCCAATTTTTAGTGAAATTGGTCTTCACCATGTCTTGGAGCCCAAATGGTCCAAAAAAATTAATTAATTTCTTTTGGAAAAATCTTATAGGAAAGTTCGACTAGAAGAGAGACTTTGCCGTAATCCCAACGTGAAAAGATGAACAAACAAAACAACATAGATAGTACGTGGTAAACAAAAAACTTATTAAGAAAGTAATTAAGGATCTCAAAAACCTTCATCCAACCTAAGGAAATTATATTGACATCTGGTTAGGTTACTCGTTTTGAATTTCGGGGTCAATCATCTGTGTGGTTACTAGATTTCTCAACATGCTTCCCTGATTGCATGAGATCTCTAGCTACTTCCCTGATTGCATGAGACTATTGCTTGTTAAAGAAGAGAACGAGAAAGTCACTTCAAATTTATTTTCAGTACGTTATATATTCAAAGAATGAAAAACGGGCACATTAGATTATCTATCTATCTCTATATATAAAGCAAAAAGCAGAGAATGATGAAACATTCAAATACTAAAAAATGTCATTGATTAATGCAAATATTAAAAATTGAAATTATTAATTAAATGAGGATAATATGGTCAATTTATATTTTTCCTTTTAAAAAAAAATCAAATAATGAGTCCTATTTTTATGGAACATAACTACCTATTTTATCTTTTCTTAATTCTTAAAAATTAAAAACAAAACCAATTGGCAAACGCTCTAAGAGGTTAGGGTTAGTATATATAAAGACAAAAAATAGTGAAACATTCCAAACACCAAAAAATGCCATTGGTTAATGCAAATGTTAAGAATTGAAATTATTAATTAAATGAGGATAATATGTTAAATTCACCCTTTTCATATTAAACAAATTTTAAATTAAAAAAACAAAATCAGATAATGAGTCCTATTTTTATGAAACACAACTATCCATTATCTTTTTTAATTCTAAAATAAAAAAATAAAACTAATTGGCCCACGCAATAGTATATTTAACACAAGTACCACTCTTCTTTTGTCTTAGACAAAATTACCAACATTCTTTCATCCTATTATACGTAATTTTTTAACGGCTAAAAATTATTTAAAGAAATTAACAAAGAACGGAGATACAAATCAACATCTTAGATCCTCAAAGTTTAAACTACAATAGAGTAAAAAAGTTTTGATGAAATTTTCACAAAGAATGTTTTGAATGAAACGCAACATAACGAGTAAAAGTGACGCATTCAATAAAAATGGTCAACAATTCGCAAGAAAATAAATAAGATTGAACTCAGGGCTAGAAATCTTGGCTGCCTTGACAATACCTAGCAAGCCCGTCCTGCAACATGTTTAAAATCACAGAATTTACAGACAAAGGATTCCAAACAGAACCCCATGGTATGCATGCATTAAACAATGAGCATGCATTATACAACTCTAGATTATGCATTTAGATTCAGCATTACTTCCTCCCGTATGTAGCATAGCCTACGATTATTTCATCCGCCATCCTCAATAATCAATTCCTTGCTGAATATCCGCCAATTATAAAGTTTTATGATTAACTCTTTATTCCTACAACAGGGGTCAAAGACATACTGAACTGTACAGTATAACAATAATTCCCAGCTTGTAATCCATCAGCTTCTTCCACAAGCTTCGCCGGTGTTCATTTATCAAGCAACCACTTGGCATCTCCATGCAATAATCGACAGAGATGGAAGCCTCCGATGGGGTAGATACATGAAATTTCTACAGATAGGCTAGTCACACAATTCACCTTTGAGAGAAGTTTACAGCATGAGGTGGAATTTCAGCAATCCCAGATGGGGGAGTTTGTGGCCTTGTTATACTAACATCAGAAACTCCAAAGTCGGAGTGTAGAATGTCTGCCCCATTCCATCCAACACCAGCTATAGTTGTCATGGTGAAGGAACTGATTACTCCAACAGCTAGATAATAATCACCAAAGAGAAAAGAACTGAAAGAGTAGCAAGGGTGAAAAGCAAAAAGAGGAACATCTTTGAAAAAGGATACAATCCGTTCTCCACATATCTGTAATGCTAACTTCAGCATCAGACAAAAGCCAGTAGTCTGCATCATTCTGCAACAGTAACAAAAAGGTATTCAATCAGAATCCACATATTGTCCACCAGAAATTTGATTTACCAAATTATAAACATATACATTGTTGAGAATATTCTTGGTTTTGAAAAAAAATTTACACGAATCGACCTTCAGTCTTGAAATTATGCTTTCTTTTTTTGCTTTTCAATTACTTAACAAAAGAAATTGGTCAAAATAATTATACTTACATCAACATCAGAGGGGACAATCTTCATCATTCCCCCAGCAAACTCCTGAGAAGCGTTAATATCAGAGCACGTTTGATCAGCCTGTTGTGCCCAAGGTTCAATTTCCTTTCCACTGCTCTCCACAGTGATCACTTCTGTTGTTGGGTGTTCGTTGGACCCAGAACCAGAAGCAATTGGGAAACTCACAGGTGGCTCAGCGCCATTTATATCCTCAAACTTCTCCTCAAATTGACTAAAATCAAGTAATAAACACAGATAAAGAAATAAATAAAAACAACAGGATATCCCATTAATCCCATTCAACATGCAAAACAAGCAGGTCCTATTCAGATTGAAGAAAGCCCATAAATGTATGTAGTTATTTCATCCACAAAAGAAGGAAACAATACCTGACAAGGTAGACATCAATGGGTCCCATTGTGCTTCTAAGTATGATCCTGTATCTCCTCTGTGGATAGTCAACTGCCTGGTGTATATTGAAGGAGAATCAAAATTGTACCAAAGTGAAAAGGAAAATAGAGTATGTGCCTTCCAAAACAAATATAGGTTCTTGACTTACTTCATCAGGATCCGGGACTTCCAAGGTGGTTCCATGTGGAGCTTTAATTGCTATCAGGGTTTCATTCTGGAAAAGAAAGGGCACGAGTAGTTTAATGGAAACCACTAAACCATCATAGAACAAAGAGTTAGAAGTGATGCACGATACTCACGTGGAAGCAAGGTAGGGCTTTAATGTCTTCTTCAGTGACAAACAGCCATCTAGAGTACAAGTTGGAAGGTACCATAAAAACGTACGAGCATAAATGGAAGCAAGTAATTAATAATATAAACAAAACAATTGAACAAGAAAAGAATCAGAAATATTGATGAACAAGAAGATTTTACTTTCGGTTGTTTTCATCTTCACTCAAATCCCTCAACTTTTCCTGCATCTCTCTGCAAAAATGCAAAAGCATCAGCATCTTCCAATAGTTTGAAGATAGTAAAATTGATTTCAGAAAGAAGATCAATGGCATAAACCTTATTTGGTCATCTAATGTGCGCTCTTTTAAGGATAGGTTTTCAACTTCTGCCTGCAGGACAAAGTCACAACTTAGAAAGTCCATCTCTTAGAAAAGCCACTAAATTTTCATTGTTTCCTTTTAGCACCATGGATTTCACAGCAATGTAGACAGCTAAAACTGCGGATCTATAATTACTACAGAAGAAGCTTACTCATGATGATTCAAAAGACAACAAACATAGATAAATAAATAAGCTCCTGGTCTTTGCATGACAAGAGCTTGCAACATTTAAATACCTGTAGTATAGAGAGATCACCATCCAACTCCCCTGGCCTTGAAGCATCAAATCCCCTAATCAATCATTTAACACATCCTTGCGTAAGTTCCCATGTGTTCCAAATTTTATTAGAGCTTGAATTGAATTTAGACACAAGAAAGGAAATTTTGGAATAAACAATCAAAGATTACTTCCAACGTATTCTGTTCTTGAGCTTCTTTTCAATTAGACCTATGCCTTCCAAGACGTTTGTAATGTCATATATCCGCCTCTTCTGAACCTGTTTCATTTGCAAACCTTTCAATCAGTACAGACCCAAATGCGGATAATATATGCGTTCATATGTATGTATAACGACAGAAAATGGTTACCTCCAAAGTTTCTGCTGCTTTGTTTAGATCAAGAATTCCATCCTCTGCATGCTTAATCAAATTGATGAATTTCTTTGTCAACAGACCTGGAAAGTTTGAGTACAGTTATCACATAGTGACATCATTTGACAGCCGTAAGAACTGGCAGTATTAAAAGAAAACAAGAACTCATTCAAAGATTACCTAAAGAACTGTCATAACGACAGCTGCCAGCTGGAGTAAGAGGAGAAGGGGAGCCTGCATGTTGACAAAAAGTATCCAATTAGATTAAGACAAATCCATTTATCTATATAACAATATAGTCTTAAAAAAAAGGATGTGCACCCTACATGGACTAAACTTTTATTGAAGCTTATCTTGGTGATTTGTTTGAGTTACGCCAAAGAAATGATGAAAGTAAAGCAAAAAAAACCTAAGAGATAAGAAAATTTCCCACCAGCATTTGATACAGGTGTCTGAGGCCCAGATCTATTGCCCTTTGACGCCTTTGACCTATTGTTTATCCTTCCCCCTTTTGTAGACACGGGAGTCTGAAGGGGACTCTGAACGACATTAGTATATCCAGGACTGCTAGTCCAATCACTGTACTCAACTTCATTATTATCCTTCCGTGTAAGTTGCTGAAAAACACCAGCAAAGGTTGAAGAGTTATCATTAACAATAGGCACAAGGCAAGTTAGAAACCATGCTAGTTAAAATGCACAACTATAGTGGATCTCTTAGATAATGAAGGGTATCAACGAGATAAAAATTGCAAATCAATTGAGATGAGTTGGAGGGTGGAGGATGTAACCACAAGGATGAAATGGGAAGAATTTCTTGCCACTAAGCATAGTTGACAGTAATGTTAAGGTAAACGGCCAAAGCAATAAGGAGTTACTCTTTTTAAATAAATAAAAAATAAGTAAGATTACTAAACAGACATATATGATGTATCTTTCTCTCTCATGAGGATAGAATCACCGCAAACACACAGAGCAGAAATGCACCTGTTTTCAAGTGCTAAACATATAACAGATAAGCATCATGCAATCTTCTCAAGAAATTACCACATCTCATGAACAACAATTGAATCCAAAAAGGAGCCAAATACTACAACTCGAAAACCTACAGTCACACCCGTAACTTCTTAACAGATTAGGAAACGCAGTATAATGTGATACACAAGCACCATATCAGATATCCACATCTCAGTTTTTCCCTCATCACGAACATTCCCAATTCTTCACTTTGACAAGTTGCATTAGAGCTAAACTTACGATTTTATTATGTTAGCTTAACTTACAAAACTGTAATAAGTTGATAAATAAGTACCACCAAATTAAATATCTTAACAATCAGTACCTTAGCGTTAAGTGAAGAATAGGGGTTTATTACCTACAAAATAGCACTGATGAGCTAATCACAATTTTCTTATTACAAATTGATACCAATCTCATAGAAACCCTAAACACACAAACCATCACTTCAGCCAAAAATCCAGACAAGCACTCTGAAAGCATCTAACCATCTTCCTCACCACAATTATCAAATCCTCAAGCAATTACAACACAATTCCCCAAAACAAAGCAACGCAGCGAGATAGACACGCAGATATGCGTGAAATGGCAATAACTCACAGGAGATCGAACATGAATAGCTTCAGGTTCTTGGTCACCAACTCTGCGAGCACCTCCAGCAAATCGATGGTAATTGTCCGGAGGGAAGGGCTGCGGCTTCGTCGACTCAAACGCGAGGTGACGCCTCAGCGGCGGCAGGATCTGGGTGCCACCGGCGGTGGCCGCCGTCGCCGGCGTTGGTTGGCGGTTAGGAGCTCGAGCGCAGCCGGACATGGAGGGATCGACCGGCTCGAACTATCGGCGGTTTCCGATTGCCAAAGACGATCGGAGAAGGAGAGACAGATCTTTAGGGTTTGGGGAACCGAGAGAATCGGAGAGAGAGGGGAGGAGGAGGAGGTTTAGGGTTTATGGGGAGGCGAAATGGGATCCGGAGTGGGTAGACAGAGAAAGAGAGGGGTTAGAGAGAGAAAGTGAGGGTTAGAGAGGGAAAGTGGGTTAAGGGGTTAGGGGAAGAGCTAGCAGAAAACGAGGGAAGGGAGGGAATTTTTAGTTTCGGATAGATGTGGAGGGAACACGGCGGAAAAAATTAATTTGTTAACTGGTTTCCTTTTTTGGACCCCTGTATTTTTCATAATTGTGTTGTTGCCCTGATGAGAGGTGAGTTTTACAAATTGACACTGCTCCAACTTCTTTTTATCAAGTGTAATTATTTATACAAACTAGCCTATTGGCATGCGCATGACACAAACTAACCTCTTGCCACGCTCTCATGCGCATGCCAATTGATATTTATTGAAAAATTGATATACATTTTAAATTTTTATGTGTTTTTTATATTAGCATTAATTATTAAAACAAATGAAAAAAGAAAGAGAGATAGATGGGTGGTGGTGGAGTGGGATAAGTGGGATAAGTGGCACATTGAGAAAGTGGGTTTTGTGTTTTTCATTTTATTTAAATGATATTTGTGTTATCATTTTAATTTCATTATATTAATTTGTTGCATCTTATCATCTTATCTAATTAAGGGTTGTTTACCGTTTGACATGTTTGCTTCATATATATAATATTAGTCACGGTCGGTCCTGAGATTTTAAGAGCCTTATGTATAACTTAAATGGGAGCCCTCAATCTAATATGAAAATATTTATAAAAAAAATTTGTCATGACTTAACATCATAGGAAAAATTCAAAGATAATTATGATGATGATAAGTAGTGAAACAGCTATAATATTTTGTTTTGTTTTTTTTAACAGAAGAGGATATGGAAATGTATATTTACTTCTTTAAAAAAAATATCCGTGTGCAAAAATGTTCATTAATTTACAAAAGAAAAAGGAGATCAACCGGAGGGCATGAATGAAAAAAATAAGAAAAGACCATAAGGCGTGGAGTTTTCCGAAAAACAATATATTTGGATGCCCTGTTTGGAATTATTCCAAAAGGATGGGGCCAAAGTCTAAGCTGCTAATAGAAAAGACAAGAGACGAAAAATACAAGAAGACTCGCCGATCCGCGCCTTTATTTGTCTTTAAACAAATTATGATTTTTATTTCAGGCTCAATTCTCACAGCTCCTCTCCAACCCTAAACTCTGGTGACCACAATGTGCATAAACTTTGGTGCTACTACTATTGGGTCCACGACACGTGGCAATCATTCAGCCCATTCTCCGCGGGTCAGCGAGGTCACAGTCTAGCCCAGAGACTGTTAATAGGCCGTACCAAGGTCGCCCTAGTATTTCTGCTAATGATGTACTTTTGGGCCCTATCCTCATCTCATAATTTCTCTAAGTTTGTTTAGCAGTTGTTTTATTAAGCAAGAATTTAGTAATGAGTGTAAGTGAAATCGTATTTCTTAACCGTAATGACAAGAGATTATAAGGAGTTGGACTACTTTCTCCATTACCAATTCGTTTTGAGATGGAACCTCAACTTCTTTACGAATATACAAAACTCACACACCTAATTTTGTGACAAATATTTTGATTATTGGCTAACCAATGAGCGACATTAGGTGGAGTTAAGAATTTAAGTAAGAGTGAATATTTTTACAATTTAAAACTCTATTCTTTTTAATGAGAAATCAACCTAATTTTAAAGGAAATCCCTAATTGCATCACCTTTTTTTTTCTCTACTCATTGATTCGTAGTAACAAAATATATGCAATTAAAAAATTTAGACATGAGCATGAAAATAGAATACAACAAGAAAGGGGGGCATTTAACGAATTTAAGAGGAATTTTATAATGTTTATACAAGATTACAATAACTAATTTTATAGGATCATTAGAGGGGGGGCACGACAGAGCCATCTATCAATATGATTTGAACTTGAAATCTCCTTCAATACGAGTGTCATTTTTGTTCATATCAATCCACTTTCAAGTTTCAACCGCATTTACTACTAGCAAATGACATGTTCTCATCTCAATTGTTGTGTTATATGATACCTCTAGTATTATTGTACAATGTATAGTAAAACACATCTATAATTCTTACCTAAATTTGAGAAATCTCCAAACCACCCCCCAAATTCAATTGGGTATTTGGAAAATGCTACTCCTCAAAATTAATTTTCAGATATATCCCCCAAAATTCGAACAAAATGTTAAAAAGACCACCTATTTTTATCATTTTTCCAAATCATCAGAAATCGAATTTGTACACCACAGAGGAGAATTTCTGAAAGGGATCGAAGAATTACAAAAAATCTCCAGCCTATCCCGAAACTGAGCCTCGCTGGTTTTTAACAAAACAGGCAGAGGAAAACAAACCCCTTTCTCCACACACCGCTGGTGTCTCGGCCGAATCCGATTCTCCAAGCTGAACGAGAAGTAGTGCGGAAACTCCTTGAGCTCCTTCAAGTCTCGCCCCATCTCCACCACGAAGTAATTGAATTTCGGCTCGAAATTCTGCTCGATGCTGTAGCAGAAGAGCTGCGGGAACCGCCGAAACATGGAGAGGGCGTCTCGGCGAGAGAACCCGATTTTCTCGAGGTAGTCGATTCGGGGCTGGAGCTTGTCCTCGACGCTGCAGGAGAGGAGAGAGGTGTGCTTGTTCACTTGGGAAATGCCGATGCTCTGGAGGAAGTAGAGGGTGGGGCGGAGGCGGGTCTTGACGCAGCAGGCGAGCAATCTGGGGCGTCGATTGAGGACGCGGCGGAGATCGGAGCCGTTGACACGGGCCTCACGGAGGAGGAAGGTCAGGACGGGGATGATTTCGGCGACTCGGGAGGAGAGGATTTCGGGGCACATGCCAATGAGGCGGCGTAGCTCCTGGGAGGTGAAGCCGATGGAGGTGAGGAGGAAATGGACGGTGGATTTTATGTGGGGTAGAGGGGAGGAGAGGATCGGAGGGTGGTGGTTGATTAAGGAGAAGAAGTCGAGGCCGATTGAGTCTAGGTAGAGGACTTTTTCCTGGAAGTCTGAGTGGGGGGTTGGGGAGGAGGGTGGCTTGAGGGATTGGAGGGGGAGGGAGAGGGTGGTTTTGGTGGAGAGGATTGGGAAGTGGGGGGATTTTGGGTTGGGGGGGTGTAAAGAGTGGAAAGAGTCATGGTGAGAGGAGGAGAGGGATTGGGGTTTGGGGTTGGGGTTGGGGTGAGAGTAGGAGGAGAAAAAGGGTTGCTTGGTGGTGGCGAGGAAGTGTGTTTCTTGCATTTGGTTGTTTGGGTGTGGTTTGGGTACTGGTCATGGCTGGGTATGAGCAGTAGAAGTGTTGTTTTGGGGAGAAGGGGAGGGAAGGAGAAAGGGGCGTGGGGTGGGTTAGAGGATAAGGCTTAAAATGCTCCAAGCAATATCATTGTGGAGACTCTGATTGGTGAGGGAGTAATCAGTAATCTATCTTTTGACCCAAAAAACATATATAATCAGTAATCTATCTGAAAACAGGAAGGAAAATTATTGGGCCAGCCCATTTTATTGGACCTTACAATGCCAATAATAGAGGGAGTTGTTGGTTACACCTAGAAATTTGATCACTATACTCCAAGAATTCTATAGTTATAGTAAGGGCTTATCTAAGGCCTTTAGATGAGGCCCTATTTCTTAATCGTTAGATAAAATTGATTAGTCGTTGGATTAAATTGATTAGTTTGATCCAACGATTAAGATATATGATGTCATCTAAAAGCCTTAGATATAAGGCCCTCACTATAGAATGACTCCATTATACTCAATCTCAAAAGGATTTGCAAATTTTTCAATTTCACTCACTAAAGGGAAATGTTCTTTTACCCAAAAAAAATCTCAATTCTTTGAAACTTTCATAATCATCATAGCATAAGATGCTTATATTGCTAGATTGCAAAGTAAGACTATTTATCATATTACTTTTTATTATAATGTGTTTTATAGATTCACAATCGAACAACATAATGATGAAAAAGTAAAATCAATTACAATTGAGTCCAAATTGCTTCCCCATTTAAGAATCTCAAACCACGGTGCTAAGGTACAAGATTCTACCTAGCAAACTTCGACCACGAGGCCCCAAAACTTCCTCACTTCCCCAAAGTCAATCCGAGATGGATAATAACCCAAAGTTTGATATTTTACATAGAATTCGAACCTAGGGCACCAAGAAAAACAGACCATTGACCTAACATAATCCTAATATGTTTTCCACTACCCAAAGGACCTAACAAAAAACATGAAATTCGACAAATGAAGGCCCAAACCATGTAACAATCCCAACTCCAAAAACACAAATTATACAACAACAAAAATATATATATATATATATATTTAGTTACCTAGATTTCTATGGTTCCCCAAAATGTATGGAGCCCGATTGGCCGGTTCGGTTCAGCCTAGTCACCAACCCTCCAACCACTACTTATCCTCTCACTGTCCCCTGCCTATTCTCCACCTTAAGACTCTCAGCCCACGCACACACTAACTCTTGACCAGTGAGTGACTGAGTGGGTGAGCTCTCAACAAACCATGGCTACCTCCACCGCTCTCATCTCCTCAACCCCATCTAGGGCTTTCTCCTCCAAATCCACGCCTCTCGTCGCTTCTTACTCCATTTCCAAGCCCATCTCCCAAACCCTAACCTTCCCCAAATCCTTCAATGGCCTCCGCCTGCCACGCGTCGCCCACTCGGTTTCTCTCTCCCGCGGAGCTCATTCCAGAAGGTCCTTCCTTGTCAAAGCTTCTGTGGATGAGCTTCCTCTGGTTGGAAACGTAGCTCCTGATTTTGAGGCTGAGGCTGTTTTCGACCAGGAATTCATCAAGGTCGAATCTTTAACTCTTCTTTCTTTTTCTGCACTCGCATGCTGTAATTTCAATTTTTGGGTTTGTGGAAACTGAAGCTTTGCTTTTGAATTTCAGGTCAAGCTCTCTGAATACATTGGGAAGAAATATGTGATTCTGTTTTTCTACCCACTAGACTTCACATTTGTTTGCCCCACAGGTTTGTTTTCACCGTCAACATTTCTCTGCAAAATTTTCCATCTTTATTCGATGCCGAGTTCTCCTTATGTTTTCTGTGTTTGACCCTTGTTGCAGAAATCACTGCTTTCAGCGATCGTCACGCCGAGTTTGAGGAACTCAACACAGAAATCTTGGGTGTTTCAGTTGACAGTGTGGTAAGTTCATTCCTGCTTCCCACTATCTGTAATATCATAATGTCCTTTGAAAAAAAAAAAAAAAAAAAAAAAAAAAAAAAAAAAAATCTTTAATTTGCATTGTTTTTTAATGCATTGCCAGACATTCCACAACAAAGTCAATTTTCTGCTTACAGACGTGTTATAACCTTGTCCAAGGTTTTGGTCTACTGCACCATATTGCAAAAGGTCAATGAGCATGCACATATTATAATGTGCAAAATTCCCCCTCGGACTATATATATGCTTCGTTATTTTGATACTAGATAATGATTCTGTCTGTACCGTGGGATGAAATTTAAAAATGTCAAGATTAAGTGTGTTCATGGAATTAAGTTTTTATGCATCGGATTTTCTGACTTCCAACAGAAATTGGACTCGTGGGGTGGGTGGGGCAAACAATGCATGTGATTTTGGGCCAAAATGCCAATTCCCAGTGTTGGTGGAGAAACAACACTTATAGACAATAAGGGCATTCAACCGAGAAAAGAAGGATGGTTGAAACATTAAAAGAACTAGGAGAACTGATATTTATGGTTGGAATAAAAAGGATTCACCAAGGCTGGCAACATCAGAAGGTTGTGTGCTTGATGATGATTGATGATGATGTGAATCAGCTTATTTTCTCCAATTTTTAGTTATTTTGACTTCTGTATTTGATGTTTTGCACATCGGATTTGTGCATATGTGTGTGTGCTTACTTGATGTAAAATGGTTTGAGAATTGCTCTTGGGTTTGCGAGATGAATTTATACTAGTCTTTTACTGTATTTTCCGTAGTTTTCGCACCTTGCATGGGTCCAAACAGATAGGAAGTCAGGAGGACTTGGTGATTTGAACTATCCATTGATCTCTGATGTCACCAAATCAATTTCAAAATCCTATGGTGTGCTGATCCCAGATCAGGTATGAGAATTAATTATAATTGGTTTTGAATTTAGTGAATAAGAAACTTGTGGGAGACTCAATGATGTTATAATCTGGATTACTTAGAAGTTTGGTTTCACTGTGATAGGGAGTTGCATTGAGAGGACTTTTCATTATTGACAAGGAAGGTGTCATTCAACACTCCACCATTAACAATCTTGCCATTGGCCGTAGTGTGGATGAGACTAAGAGAACGCTCCAGGTAAACATATTCATCAAGGCCAAGATAGAAATGGGATGATTTAGTTTCCAAGATCTGCCTTATATCTGAGAAATTTGTTGTTGTGTTGCCTATTACATTTTCTAATTGCTTTTTGTCGCTTCTTTTCTTTGCCTGGGTTGGATCCTGCAGGCCTTGCAGTACGTTCAGGACAATCCTGATGAAGTTTGCCCTGCTGGTTGGAAGCCTGGGGAGAAATCCATGAAGCCAGACCCCAAGCTCAGCAAAGAGTACTTCTCCGCGATATAGTGGTAGCACACTGCGTATCTATGTCGGATTCAGATAGGGAGTTGTAAACGAGTTTTGTATTTGTGTAATGTCTTTTTCAGTTCTTGGTAATTTGAGCAGCAGCCTGTCACAATAAACCCAATGAATGGGACTTACCCAGATTTTCAGAGAATTCAAGTACCCCAGCCGTTTTATCGTGTTAATGTTCATATGATATGGTCCAACTGTGTCTAAAGCCTAGGAGCTTGATGCACCATAATAATGCAGTTACAAATTACAATGGTGTGTAGGTTTTAAGCTGGAAAGTTTGTTTGGCACCGTGGAAGCAGGCTGAGGCTATGTAATTGTATTTTTTCCAAGTAAATTATAAGATGGAGAGAATAATCGTCTAGCTCCTATATTTTTCCCTTTTTCTGCTGTGATGATTGGTTGGGGTTTAAAGGGTAGACAACTAATCTTCAAATCATCATCTTATTCAGAATTTGAAGGGAGGAAAAGATACTGCAATCAACCTACCAGTGAAAATATGTAATGAACAAGATCTGAGTTATGAATTTGATGGCTTTGCATTATTGCAAATAACCCTTATGAATTTGATGGCTTAAATAGTCAGACTAAGATGAAACTGGGATAACTCTGTCTCTAGTTTCAGTCTCATCCATGGCTTTAGATGCCTCAGCAGAAATTACCCATAAAACCCAATTTAAGACCTACTAGAACCAGGCAATGAATGAATTCTGTCCATTAAAAAACTGCTCCTTATCCGTTTCTCCACTGGTTGGTTGGTCTTGGTTCATCCATAGCGGCGCTTGCCTTTGAAAGACAATCGAAGGAAAAAGCTTTGCAAGGGTGAGGAAGGATGAAGATCAAATCAGTTCTTCATCACAACCACCCCAAAATCGCATCAACCACCCCAACACCAGCCCTCCTCCCCATTACTTGTCATCACATCACCAAAACCCAAACCCTGAAAACCCTTAACCACAACCACAAAGCAAGCCAGAGGCTGAGGATCTGTACAAACCCAACAACAACCAGAAAGAGATTCTCAACCATACCAGCAGCAACACTTCAGCCTTCACTGCCTCTGGATCTAACAGAAGACAATATCAGACAGGTCTTGGCAGATGCAAGAATTGAATTTGGACAGCTCTTTGACACTTCTGTTGGCATGACAGGTGCTTAATTTTAGCTTTAGTTATTTCGTGTTGGTTTCAGTTTAGATGTTGAGAATGCTTTTGGTTTGGTTTGCAGGGCAAGTTGAACTTGCCGAACTGGACGGGCCCTATGTGAAGATCAGTCTCAAAGGCCGGTTTTGGCACGAACGCAGTGTGGTTCTGGCTAGACTGGCCAATTATCTCAAGCAGAGAATCCCTGTGAGTTAGCTTTCTCACTGAAAATTACTTTGATATTTACACTCTGAAAATTAATGTCCTTTCATTTTTTCCTCAGGAAATTTTGGAGGTAGACATAGAAGATGAGAAACAATTGGATGACAGCCCTGAAAACTTTTAGAGCTACTCACTGCCATTTCCACTGGTTTTTCTTTTTCTTTTTCACGGTTTTCCCCAAAATTGCTTATCATTTCTGTGAACTCCAGTTAAACAAGTTTTAGAGTGAGAAGGAGACAATAGCAATTTAATGAGCCTATTAAACTTGTTTACAGACACAAACAGCAGCAACTTTTGTACTGGCAGACTGAAAATTTACAATGATAAGCTGAATATAGAACTACAAGAAGATATGATTGTGTATTTATCTTTGTCAACGCCCCCCTAGAGACAGAAAGAGGCATTATGTGATTCAAATTCAATATTGTTGTCTAGTACTTCCACTGCACTAGCTAAATACTGGAAGAAACTTTGAAAAAATAAAAAGTAAAAAAATCTTTCCAAAGCGTGTTGTTCATGGGTTAAAAATTGAACAAATCGACTAAACTTACAGGCTGGAAACATAATTTTACTTTTATGTTAGATGAGGGTCATTGGAGAAATTTGCAACTGCTACCATGATTAGGATTTTGAATTTTGCTAGCTGGTGTGCGTTTGTCGTCGATGTCATCTATGCATGCACATGTGGGTGACTAACAAACGTTGATTAGTATGCACCGATGGAATCCAAATGTATTGACAATCGTTGATTGGTATGCACCGATCAAATCTCTCTTTACGATTGTGTTAAAAAGTTCCATGAGTTTATACCCATGACGGTGTTAACCCATTTCTTTTCTTGACTTAACTCAAGCTGTATGACATTAAACTCGTAAATTTCAAATCTCTTATGATGACTAAGTACACCCTTTTGATTAACAATCATGATTATTATCCATTCTCTTTATCATAAAATATAGAGAACGCCACCAAATTAAGAGAATATCTATGTTAGATAGAAGAACTTAAGCAAAAGATTTGCAGATAAGATTAGATACAAAGTGTATGCCGTTCGCATTACAATTGTTTGATCATGGACTAAAGATCCAGTGACTTTACAGCAAAGTTGATTCTGTTTATTCATTTTTGTTTCTACCAACAACAGGCGACCCTTAGATTTATTGACTATGCATATATATTGAGTTGACCTTAGAGGGTGAGGATCTGATTCGGATTCTATTATTAGATATATCAATTTAATCAAGTGTAATTAGACATTAAAATTCTTCATATGCCTCACATGGTCACACCACCTGGCCTTTGAGAGAAGTGAGAACCCAATCAACAAGCTGTCCTCAAGTTTGGTGACAAAACCATTTTATAATAAAACGCAGCAATAAGAATAACAACAACCACCGTCATGGTGCTGGTAGAGTACAAACCCAACTAACATATGTTTCTCGTTTCTTATAAATTAACCCAAAAATTATTTGAACTAGTTAGTCAAATCGTCTTCTGTCAATTTAGTTGTTATGCCGATAGGTGAATTAGGTGAGTTGAACACGACATTATACTTGTCCTTTCAAATTCTACTATTTATAAATTAGACATGAGTTAAGTCAGTTAAGTTTGGTCCTTACGAATCTTCGTCTTTGAAAACTAGAATAGTTCTTATTATGTAATTTTTGCTTAATTTTGTTTACCTTACAATCAATTTCCACAATTTTTTTTTGGTTGCTTTTTTGGGTATTGTACTGTAATTTCCCATTGCAATTCATCTTCTGGTACTCTCCTAACATTTTGCTCACAAATTTAGAGCAGAAACTGCAGAAGCAATACATGTCACAAAAGGATCGATACAGTATAAATAAACCAATACAGCAAGAAGAAACTTCAATTGAATTCCCTCAGAGTTTTCCAAAAAGAGACACCGATGGATGATAAGCATTTCCTTCGTCTTTCTTTTTCTTTTTCTTCCCTTTTTTTTATAACTTAAGATAAATATAATATATATATATATATTATATATCGGAGACTTTGAGAGGGTGCTTCAGCCTTTTCTGGCTCAGCTACAAAAAGACCCAAAGTTCCTATACTGCTGCTGATGTAGATGTACGGTGTCAGACTGTATATGAACCGTATATACTGTGAAACCCAAAACACCCAAAAAGGGGAGACTTCGTATTGCATGATCAATCAAAAGCCAACACATCACGTGGCTCAGACACATAACTTATTCTGTCCACCTCTTCCCAAACCAGCTTTGATGTTATTTCATCCTGCTCTGGTACATACTCCTGAGATTACCAAAAACCGACATAAATTAAAATCATATCAAGTTTTAAACACACATTTTGATGTTATTTCATTCCCTAATCTATAATTAGGCTCGTATATATCATAATGCCCCCAACCCAACATTGTCGTGAGGGTTTGGTTGGATCCAATTTTCTTTTACCGGATTGAACTGGACTGGCATACTAATGATACCTAATTATTCGTAACACTAAAATATGATAATCTGCTACAAAAAAAGGTATGCAGAGTCCTCGTTTTCTTTCTTTTTCTAATTGGGAGAGTTGCATTCGTATTAACGATCCACATGAATCATGTCCGTTTAAATCTTGATCATGATGATCATATTCTTTCGTATGATATAGACGAAGCAAAATACCTCAAGTTGTCTGACCAATTGCTTGGCCGTTGGAGCAGACACGATGATTTGACGTGCAGTAGTAGAAATAAAGCCTTCATCAACGGCCTTATCAATGAAACTCAACAAAGAATTGTAGAAGCCGTCCACATTCAAGAGGCCCACCTAAAATTAAAAAACAAAAATAATTCCCACTTAATTAATTAACTAACAATATCCATTTCCTAACATACAATTAATATTTCATATTATATATGAACCTTTTTTTTATGTCTTCATTGTCTTGTGACCAACAACACCACCCTTCTTTTGACCAACAACCGCTTAATTAAATGATTAAACAATTAAAATCAAATTAAACAAAAGATAAAGCCCATAAAGAAACCTCTTTCTCCCATTCAAACGGAGATCCTCAAAATAATCAAACACCTAATCATCATGAACCACGACTTATGACTCAAAAATCCCAAATCTTATGCTATCTTTCCATGTGAATTAGAATTAAGTACCACATGCATTGATTCGCTACATATTATGACACTTTCTAATTTTATGGAATTATGGAATGAAAGAGAGTCGTGTACTTGAGAAACATGATTAATAATTTATTTATCACAAGGCATAGCATGCAACTATTAATGAAGACAAGGGAGATGATAAAATATTCTTAATTGTGAACAAATTGATAGTTAATCTTGGGTTAGTAGCAAATTTGGGGACATCAGCACCAATTATCTACAAGATCATAACTACATTTGAACAAACACAAAACATGGCGTCATGTGAGGCCCTTGCTTCCTTTTAAAGGTTTGGAATGATTTATAAATTAATTTATACCATTCAAAAACATTTTATAGAAAGGATTGAGAAATATTAGAGTAATTTTCTTACAGGTTTGCGGTGGATTCCAAGCTGAGCCCAGGTAATGACTTCCAGCAATTCTTCTAGAGTGCCATAACCACCTGATCATATTAACTTAAAGTCAGTTTCACAAGAAGGACCTAATTAAACAAATTGCGAGAGTTTCTTTGGACAGTCATTCACGTGCGTGCGTGTTGAATAATTGTCAACTCTTGTTGTATGTGTGACTCATTGTTGGATTCACACACATCAACAGCTAACAATCACCCAAACACTTGTAGACAACTATCTTTAGCAGTCAATTATCATGTCACTTGCAATATGTCCGACTGATGGGTGAAATCCATACCAGGGAGGGCAATGAAAGCATCGGCTTGGCGGGCCATCTCAGCTTTCCTTTGGTGCATATCTGAGACAGTTCTCACTTCACCAACAGTCTCACCAGTTAACTGCAATATTTTAAACAAATCACATCATTGATTAATCATGTAAAGATCAACAGATGCATCACCCAAAATCTACATAAAGTTATTAATTGCAATATACAAATGGGATAAAATAAAAGTCTGGCCAAAGGAGTCTAGCCAGTGGAAAATGTCTCAGGTTCGAACCCTCATGGCATCAATTGTGTGTGTGTGTGTGTGTGTGTGAGAAACTCCCTCCATAGTAGTTTAGACTAAACTCAAAAAATAAAATAAAGTAAAAGTCTTAGGATGTACCTCTCTAGGCATTAAGGTCCTTGGAATAACTCTGCAAAAATCCACAAGAACATTTGTCAGTCAAGCTCTATATAATAACAGAAACAATTTACAAAAATACTCTCACTTGAAAGGGGCATTGACCAACTTAATTTGCTGCGGTTGTGTACAGAACGTGTTCAAAGCTTTAAACAGACCAAGAGTTCTTACATAACAGGGTAGGCAGGCTTTTTACAAAAAGCAACGACACTTTTTTCCAGTTTAACGTGGAAACTTCCACGCTTTCTAAAAGTCTCCATACTTTTTTACCAAGCTTTTCAATTCTATGCGTCTTTCTAACTGGAAGTTGCAGAGAGAGAAACTGACATTGTAAGAATTTAAAGGGGTTTAGCTTTAACCCAACTGACGATCAAAGCTGCTGCAAAAAAGGCCCCCTAAACATAGTTAACGACTAAGGACACCCTTTTAGACTTACTGTAGACCCAATCAGAGGAAAAGAAGAACACAAGGAAAAAGGGAATGCACAAATTCGATTATATAATATGGTGCAGCATTCGATCCTATGTTATCTGTCTGCCTTTGAGAACCCACTCCAATAGATAATTGGGATTAATCTGCATGGTGTGGTTCAATAAAATAAAGAAAAGGAAACGCAACTCATTTGATTTGAGGGTTCTTTTTCTGGCCAATCATTTCATTTGTGTAACCTAATGAAGACAAGAGGTTCATCATGTACAGATGCATTATGCGTGTGGTGTGTGTATGAGAGAGAGCGAGAGAGAGAGAGAGAGAGATTAAATTACAAACCCTAGGACATGGCGCCCGCCATCATGAACTGCCTGAGAAACAAGACCCATCAATCCCACGCTTCCACCACCATAGACCAAATCAATCCTTCTCTCCACCTTCAAAACCCATCGAAATGCAAACCCAGGAACACGTGTCAGAAACCCAATTCATCACAAAATATTTTTAAAACAAACCTACATGATTGATTGAGCAAACTTAGAAGAGATAGTAACAATTAAAAAACCTATGTCTCCCAGTGGAAAGAATGAATGGAAAACCCTAGGTAAACAGGCTACTGAGTGAAATTATTATTATAAATAATTGTATAATTAAATTTCATGGTCATGGAACCCCATAAACAAAAATCATGGAGAAGAGGAAGGGGGGGTTTGGGCATGGAAGCCTGTGAAGACAACATGCTTAAAAGAGTCATGATACCAAGAGAGCACGTTTGGTTCCCTCTCCTGGAGAATTAAAAGCTACCAGCAGTACTTACTGATTATATTAATTATTTTTATAAAAATAAATAAAGGGTTTAATAAAAATCAAAACTCAGATCATGCAAGAAGGCTGCTCAACTGACAGACAGGTTACAGCTAGCAATCTCTGCCTCCTCTCTCTCTCTCTCTCTCTCTCTCTCTCTCATGCCACACATAAACCCTAATGAGGCTTAATGCTAGGCTCCAAGTCTGGAACAATGATAAGCCCACGTTGAACGTTTGTTTGGTTACAACACGCAACCTTGCACACCCCCCCCACCCCACTACTTGAGAAAAAAAGAAGTAAACCCAAATGGGAAAAAATGTAAGAAATGGAAGAAAGAATTTGTGCACCATATCTAGGCTCTTTTTAAGGAAATTAAATGGAGACAATGCATCAAGCCCAATTTCCTTTGAAATGAAGTTAACAAAAACGGATTCTGAATCCCAGAAAGAGTAGAAGACGAAATAGGGAACTTTTGTGAAACATTTTTTTGTGTTTGAATGCTCTAATTTGCTGCATACGGATGGAACACAGAAGGGTGAATATAAAGAAGAATAACAAGAAGAAGAAAGAAGAAAGAAACCAAGAAATAAACACAGAAGGGAAATTATAAAAATGGACAAGGTTAATTACCAGCTCCTTCCCAAGTTCAACAGCAGCTTCTTGGTAGCTGGCTTTCTTCCCTGAACTGCTACCACAAAAAACACAAATCCTATTGAATCTCGACTTTGTCTCTTCCATCTCTCTCAGTCTCTCTCTCTCTCTCTCTCTCTCTCTCTCTCTCTATGATCTCAGAGAGAATAATGATCTTTGTGGATCAAATGAGGGAGGGGGATGGTTGAGAATGAAAACAAAGTGAGTATTTGTTTATGGAATGAATATATAATGCCTTGGCCAAGTAATTGACATTATATTATATATAGGCTACAGGCCTACCGCTCTCAGTTTTCTATTTGGAAGGTAGAAAAATACATTAATGTATTGAGGAATATAATAATAGAATTGTAGATAGTTTTCCAAGGAGAAGAAAAATATTAATCCATATGGAAATTTAGTAATAATTCGGAGCAGTGATCCCCTGCTTCGCATGCTCATTTTAGAAATTACGCGTATGCAGTTTCGTTTTTTTGGGTCTGATACGCGTATGCAGATTTTGCGTGGGCGTGGCATATCATCAGCATTCCCTTCGGGTTTCGGGTGGATAGTTAATTACTTGTTACCCCTAAAACAAAAAACAGATATTTTCGTTTCTTTTTTTGGGAACGTGTGAAATATTTTGAAAACGCATGTGTGGAAATTCGATTAAGCAATGGCTTGATTGGGGCTGATTATGAATAGGCCACTTTACGTGATTATATAGAGAAGCACTTACCACGTGCTTCTTTCCATAAGTAATTATGGTCATCCTAAAATAACTCTCAAACGAGCCTTACCTCCTATTGAGAATTCCATAAAAATAGGAGATACAATGTACGTTCCCTTTTCAATATACAATGTATTTAAAATGAATATTTGTTATTTGTTTTTGTTGGAATCTAGTTTCGTTAAATAGAAGGCCAAAGTCAGTTACGCCAACATGAACCCAAAATCAGGTGTGCAGTCTTGGATGTTGTGTTCCACCCATGGCAAGGAAATCAGGTGGCGCATTTGTTGGTAAAATTGGAATTAAGAGAAAGGATTAAATTTGTGTGTGAGGATGTGGCTTCGCCTTGGGGTTGTTTTTGACGACATATTGTGAGAACACCTAGTCTTTTGTTTTATCTCTATGGGAGGAGTCGTGGTACTCTTTTTCCTTGACTGGATTTTCTTCCTTCGAGGATTTTTAAAGACAAGGTTTTAATAATGCCACATATGACTCCTCTGCTTTTTCGAAGTCGATGTACTATTTCATTGTTTTGTTTTAATGAAAATATATTTTTTGATAAATAAATAAAAACATTAACCCAAAATGAGTTCAACCAAATTCAACATAAAACTTACTACAACCATTAAACTCATGAAAGGCATAGAGCTCGCTATAGTCATTAAACTCACAAAAGGCATAAAGCCTGCACAAATAACTTAGGAAAAAAAACCCTAAGACAAAGAACATGGAAATGTTACACCACCCAAAACCCATTAGTTGTGCCACCAACGCAAGATCACAACCGTTGAAGTGAAACTGGTAATCAATGCTACAAATAGAAAATGGTGGTGGACAAGCCAACAGATCTACAAAGAACACTACCATAATCCAAGCAATAAGTGACACTTACACTTTAAAAGAATCGTCAACTCCATAAGTGTCATCGAGGATAAATGACGGAAGAGATAATTGTGGAGTCGAGAAGTAATTGATGGTGGTGGAGACTAGATGTCGAGACACATCCATCGACAATTGGTGGAGAAATCTGTAAACACACAAACACAAAAACAAAGTCAATGCCGCCAAAGCCACCATAGTCAACGTTGCTGCCGCCACTAATACAAGGGAGGAAAGTCATATGAGGGTCAAAAACGATAGAAATTGGAGGCATAAGCCTCTAATGAACAAAGCTCAAGCTAACACCCACACAAGGGGGAGAACGAGCCAAAAAAAAATGGACACCAAATCGGGAGGAACAAAGATGAGGGGAGGAATAGAGTAAGAGGAAGGAAGAGAGGAGAGGGGAGAATGAGTAAGAGTAAGGGTGCAAGTTGGATTGAAAAATTTGATTCGATTTGAAAATTTTCGATTTTCGCAAGTCCAAATCAATTCCGAAATATGAAAATTCCAATAAAAATTGGATTTGAATTGGAATATATCTAGAGATTCCAAAAAATTCTGAATTTCAAAATATATTGGGGTTTCAAGCTTAAACTACCCACAATTACTAATTTCATGTTGAACTAAAAATAATTTGATGACAAAATAGACATAGACAAGTTATTTCATAAAGGATAACAACATATAAGTACTAGCATACAATAATTTTCCAAGCTTACCATATGAGTTTTCAATTTAGAGTCAATTTTAATCCTTCAAATGGTTAGGCATGTTTAGAATTTTGAACTAATTTTTGAAAGTTTCCAAAAAAAATTCTGAAATATGTAAATTCCAAAATATTCCAAAAACTCCTAGTTTTTTTTAATTGGAATGGATATTGAAATTCCGAAATTTTTTATAATGAAATTGGAATCCCCTGATTTCGATGCGATCTATCCAAAAATTAGCCCTAAGTAACAGTGAACTCCTTATTTTGAGAGAGCCCAAAAGGAAAAATATTGCAAATGCAATGCATGTGATAAAAAGTATAAAAAGGAATAACAGTTTAGGACCCAAAAAAATATGTGTGTGTTTTTTATTTTTAAAGTGACATGATTTTTTCTATATGTTTTTTCCTTATTTTTCTGCAAAATACAATGGATTCATAATGAGAAACTAGCATCCCATTCAAACGAATTAGGATACCGACATGAAACTCATAATTATGGGTGTATTCAAATACTCTAAAATAAAAAGAGAGTTAGTCTACCAATTTTATTTTTTTCTAACAAGTTAGGAACGAATCCAAGATTTTAAAATTGAATGGGCTGAATTTACCTTAAAAAGAAACTTGATGGCACAAGTGAATTTTATTAATAACAAATAATTAAAACAAATAATTATTAATTAGGGAGGACATAATCTGAAAATCTTAATTAGCCATTTTGAAGGGTATATGGCTCATTATTTCTTCCACTCTTGAGTCTTTAAAGAATTAAAATAATTAAGTTTTCATTCATTATCAATATTATCAACTATTATTTTTTGGTTGTGTGTAAATACTACATCACTTTAAAAAAAAATTTAAAAAAAAATCCATATGGGCCATAGCCCATATAGCCCCCGACATAGATCTGTCCCTAATACAAGCAATAGTCTAAACAACAAGGAGGTGAGAGTTTTCTCATACACACTATCAAAGTGTCATGTGGGTTCTAGTCTGAGACCACTGGTCTACAAATCAAAGTCTTTTTTCACTGTGCTACACTCAGTTATTGAAATTTTAGTACTTTCTTGAAGCACCGTGTTCTTTGATTTTGTAGGACACAATTGGATGTCGAAACGGTTTCCGATTTGTCTAATTTTTTGTAAGGATGATCTATGAATGAAGACCTAAAAAATAGATGGTTTGGATCGTTGGAAAAAAAATTGTAGGGTACCCTAAAGGGCGTCCCTCAAATAAAATTATTTGAGGGATCCCTCAATAGAAGGGGACTGTATACAGAGAGCTTCCATTGAGGGATCCCTCAAATAAGCTTATTTAAGGGACACCCATTGTACGGCCCACTCCAGATTGTATTTCACTAATCCAAACCGTCTATTTTGTAGGTACATATTCAAAGATCATATCTACAAAAAATAACTTGAATCCGATATCATTTGACCATTCAATCGAGTTATTGAAATTTTAGTACTTTCTTGAAGCACCGTGTTCATTGATTTTGTAGGACACAATTGGATGTCGAAACGGTTTCCGATTTGTCTAATTTTTTGTAAGGATGATCTATAAATGAAGACATAAAAAATAGATGGTTTGGATCATTGGAAAAAAAATTGTAGGGTACCCTAAAGGGCGTCCCTCAAATAAAATTATTTGAAGGATCCCTCAATAGAAGGGGACTGTATGTATATATATATATATATATATATATTTGAACATTTCCTTTCACTTAAAAAAAATGAAATAAAATTGTGTTTATATCCAAATAAGCAAATATGTTACACGATTTAAGATGAGTGCTGCTATTTCCACCCCTATCCTATTTTCCCATCCACCATGTAAATTTTAAAAAACACAATCCTATCTTTTCCACCCACCATTATTCCTAAAATATCCTTTAATTATTAATTCAAACAAATTCTCTTATTAATTATTAATTTAAGCAAATTCTCAATAAAAATAAAATTAGTGTCCCTTGGGTCAAAGCTGAGTTCATGACATTAGTCCCTCTTGCACCATGGCAACAAAGTTGGGTGTGCTAAATAAGCAATCCTTCCTGCACCATGGCTTTCTATCATGCTTACTATTCATTTAGTATTGTATGGGATAAAGCCTAACCACGGGCAAAGGATTAATGGACCCATTGTTGGGACTACTGGCAACCACCCGGTTAAGCAATCCTATTTAAATGCTAGGAATTAATAAGTTTACTTTTATAACATGTTTACTAATCAGTAATTGGATTATGAGGAACTGAATCGAGGATGAATTGAATTGAGAAGGAGTTGGATTGAGGAGAATTAGATTTCAAATTCCTATTAAAGTTGTTTACTAAACCTTATGGAATTAGGATAAGACTGATACTAATTACTAAAATGTCATAGTTGTTGGGTTAGATAGATGGCAAATTTTAAAATTATAAAATTGTGTGAGGATATCATAGGTAAAAAATATGAATTTTTAATAAGTTAATTCTCCATGAATTAAAATATCACATCCCACCAAATAATTGAATTCCTCCTAGTTTATTCCTAATTTTGTATGGACCCCACTTACTTTTCAATTCCTTGATGTGAAGTTAATGCAGGAATCCTCCATAGGTGGAATTCAATTCTTGATGAGAATTCTAATTCCAAGTTAGTAAACACACCATTAATTAATTATAGGTCTCGTTCTTCCTTTCAATCTGCAACAGAGATAAAGATCAATGGAGATGGGCATTAGATGTGAGGCTACACACCTTAGGAAAGCTAGGGTTAATTTAATTTTAATTTTAATTTTTAGTGAAAACTACTT